CCCATTTAACAGATGAGGAAATGGAGGCTCCAAGCAACTGAGTGACTTGTGATAGGCCAGGGACTTAAAACAACAACCCTGAACCCAGATTCTCTCATCCACTACACGACACCAAGCCACAAAGATCCCCTGCGGTCCCTAGTAAGGAAGATGCTGGTCAGGAACATGTTGAGTCAAAACTCATGGAGGAAGAAGGGATGTTGAGGGAAGGATCCAAGACCTAAAACTTTAGGGGGCTGCATAAGAGGAATGCCCCTCAAATCACAGACAGGGAGACCTCCCAGGAGAGCACCACGGTCAAACACACTGACCCGGAGCCAGGTGGCCTGATTAGCTCTGGGCCTGAGCTTCCAACCTCTCTCAGTGTTCTCATCTGGAAAATAGGTATAATTTAGCACACTTTCCTCATCAGTTTGTTGTGAGAATTAAGTGACTTAAGATCTGAGCAGCTCTTTGATTGACACCTGGCTCCACCAAGCATCACGTAAGTGGGACAGGTAAGCATCAGGTGTGTTGGTTATTGTTATTAACATTGGGTGAGTGCAGACTCGGGGGGGAACCCCACCAACTAAACTCCCGCCAGCTAGTCCGTGTCATCCAGCCCTCCACTCAGGAGAAGACTGGTGGCTCAGGTCTGCCCTGACAGTGACACTTCGCCCTTGGGAGTCACCTGAGGCTGAAGCACGTAGGGCTGCTCTAGAAGGGGAGGCCTGCAGCTCCCCGTCCCCGGGCTCATTAGAGTCCAGCAGCACGCCAATGAGCTCAGCTCGGCCTGTTTACCCTGGGCCAGTGCCAGCCGCCCTTGCCAAGAATGACTTCATCCAACAGTCACAGCGGGTGGACAGGCAGGAGTCAGGGCTGGTGATGTGCACTTGGCCACTCTGGGGGAGGCCCACCATGGACACTACCATTCCTTCAGGGCCCAGGAATGGCTTTCAGGGCTGGGCTTGAGGGGTGGGCAAGGGGACGCAGCGGTGAAGTCTCCTGGGCGGGATCTGCCAGGCTGCCCAGGATTAGTTGCTTTCCACCAGCTTCAAGACAAGAGGTCAAGTTCAAACCCAAAAAGGTGGGCCCAGCCCACATCAGCTCAGCCACAAGCTGGAAGCACATCAGAAAGTTACATGGCAGGACTCATTGTGGAGGTCTCAATTCCCCGGCCTGCCACTCCACCTCCTCCCGCCAGGAAGGGGGCCAGAGCCAGGCCCTTGTCTCTAAGGGGGTTTAGAAGGCAGAGGGGCCTAAAGACAGTTCCCTCTGGAACTCCTCTCTTCCAAGTCGGAGCTCAGGCCCAGGGGACGTGGAGAGAAAACAGAAGCTCTTGGGGAAGCAGAAGCTGTGATGACAGAGAGACCCCCAGGAGGGGAGGAGAACCCCAAGGGCCTGCATGTCATTCAGCTGTGGGAGGGCCAAGCCAGCGGCCAGTAACGAGGCCCAGAGAACCCCGTGGACAAGCTTGGCTCGGCGCAGTGAAGTCATCCACACTGAAGTGACCAGGCAGGGTTGGATGAACGGACACCAGTGATATGAGCCCAGAGTCTCCCAGAGAACCAGTCCTCACTTGAACACAAGGGGAGGAAATTCGGATCACAGGTGGTCATTTAGGCAAACCTGCACCGATGGCAAAAGCAAGTTTAAGTTTTTATTCATTCAAACGTCTCATAGATTCTGAAGGACAATCGTTAAGACAGAAATCAGCAGGTGGACACACATCAAGGCGGGATTCCTAGAACATAAGCCTGGATTGGTATGAAAGGGATGACCTCTGACCTCCCAGGTGACAAAGCACTTCCATGACCACCGGGCAGGTGGGGCATGTTTCCCGCATTGTACGGATGTGTGAGGCTCAGAAGGGTAGTGACTCCTCGAGGCTCATAAGCAGCTTGGCTAAACAAGAGAACAGGCTCCCCACCTCTCTGCTTGTAAGTGTTAACCTGGAATTCTGGTTGTAGGCAGAAATCATTACAAGGGAGTCACGTGGCACAGAGGTGTGGGCCAGGCCAGATTTACGGCTCTTCGTGAGGTCAAAATGCCTTATGGGAGCCGTCTGGCCCCTGCTCCCCCCAGGTGCCGGCCGGCCCCGCGACATCAGGCTCTCCAGCCTGTTCCAGGTCCAGGTGGGGCTCATCCTGAGCCTCTGTCCTCACCTCCGGCCTGTCTGCTCAGCGCAGCTATACCTCCACTGGCCAAATTCCTACTTGGTAATTGAGCATGTTATTCCAGAGCTGTCTAGACACATGCTCCATGGGGGGACCTGGGGGAGATGAAATGCAGATATGGCTGGAAGCGCCAAGGCACGCCTCAGCCTTGATCCGTGGATGGGAAACGCCAGGGCCATGCGTTCCTGCTTTAACCCTGCGCCGCCATCCGCAGGCTGGTTCCCGCGCTGCCCACATCAAAGCCGTCTCAAGGCTCCGGCTGCAGACACTCTGTCTGAGTCTCCCTCTGAAGCGGCCAGGCCACAGGCCATCATGGAGACGCCAGCCCCTCTCCTGACAGCCACTTCCCACATCTCAGCATCTCGCTGGAGCCTTGCAGTTCGCCTACAAAGGAAGAGTGCAGACATCCATCCTCCATTTGGCAGATGGGAGGAAGAACGGGGGAGGAGGAAGAACGGGGCATGCGCATGCATCACCTCAGGTTCTCCAGCCACTGCAGGGGAGTGGGGGCAGGGGATGCAGCAAAGTAGTGACGTGAAAGAGCTCCTGGGGGCAGAAGCTAAACCCCGAGGCTCCCGGAGCCTCACCAGGAGAGCCTGTAGCTCATGTTGGCCCAGTCCTTCCAGGACAAAGGGCATCCCAAGGTGAATCCATCACATTGCCAGTTCTCAAGGTCGGGCTCTTGCTCAAGAGAGGGAAGAGCCTGGGAGGCCAGCAGGCGAGAGGGGAAGCCTAGGCTAAAATGCACACCCACCTCAGCCTGCAAGTGACTCACTTGTACTAAACACACAGCCTCACAAAACAGCCAACAAGAGGGCCTGGAAGGGAACCCGGATCCCCTGAGCACCCGGGTTGTCGGTCACGCCACCCTGGTCGAGGGAGAAACAGCCCAGATGAGGTTGTCAGACGTCCTGCGTGTGGACTCCAGACATACCATGTCCGTGTTAGGTTACTAAACACGAGTTGTAGGCAGGATACTAACTGTGTGATGGATTTACTGCAAAAACTTAGAAGAGGTTGGCGCACAGCATGAGTAAAGAAGGCTCTGACCATTCGTTTAGATTACAACAAACAAAAGAACAACCACCAGAGGGCCTGGCAGCACGAAACCCTGCCTACATGAAACAGAACTTTCTCAACAAACATCCACTGAGCATCCATTTGGGGCCTGGCACAGAGAACACAAAAGATCAATGAAACCCACCCGTGCCCTCCAGGCTTACTGTCTGATGGGTGAGGATACATACAAGCCAGGAGGACACAGAGCAGTAAAAAGAGATAAAATCCATCTCCCTCCCTAACAGCAACTCAGCCTAGAATCTTCCCTAAGGGCTAAATATAGAAGTCAACACTAAAAATGTTTTGGGTGCATCAATTAGGGTTTTTTTTTTCCGCTGCAAGTAACAGAAAACCCAGTGAAATAGAGTAAATTTCACCTGTTCAAGGGTAGGGTAGGGGCAGGGCTGTTCACTTCAAAGGCTCAAGGACAAGGTCAAGGAGGGGCTTCCTCCATCTTTCCATCTGATCGACGGCAGCCTGTTCTCATGGTCACAAGAGGGCCACCACCATTCCAGGCATTACATGAGGATGTGAAGATGCCCCATGGAAATAACAAGATCTTTTCTCCCTGCTGCATCTCTTTCAAAGAGCTCAAGACTCCAGAAGGGCCCCGCACATCGGCCACCGTCCAGTCATCAGGTTACCCTCAACTGCCCTTTGGCGAGGGGGACTGTGGCCCCCATGACTGCCTTAGCCCTCTGGGGACTTGCCTGAGTTAGGAATGGAGTGGGGTCAGGAGTGGACCTAAAACTAGTGGACCTAAAACTAACTCAGGGCTGCAGCAGCAGGGAGGAGGAGGGCCGCGTGGTGGGCCGCCATCGGAGTCCACCGAAGCCTAGGAAGAAATGGTTCCTTTCCCAGTGGTGGTCCTAATACGTGTCTCGAAAGGGCTCTAAGTCCTTCATGCAGGTTTTTCGGGGGTGGGGTGGGAGCAAGA